CCACGTTGAGTGTGTACACATGTGTATGCAGGGTGTGTGTGTATGTATGTGAATATGCACCTAGAGGTCGATGTTGGGTGTTTTTCTCTATCATTCTCCACTTTACCTTTTGAGATGAGGCCTCTTACTCAATCTGGAGCCACCAGTTTACTGGACAGGATGACCCGTGAGCTCTAGGGACCTGCCTGTCTCTGCCTTCCCAACACTGGGACTACAGACATTTGCCACTACACTTGGCTTTTTATGTGAGTGCTAGGGATCTAAACGCAGGTCCTTCTGTTTGCAAAGCAAGCACTTTACTGACTGAGCCATCTCTCCAGTCCCTCAAACAATTTCTTCTTTATTTGCTTATTTCAGCTTCTAAAGACTGACTTGTTACATTCCTGAACCAAAATGAACTTCTGGGAAAGCATACAGCTAGGCTCTTTCTGTTGGAAAATTGGAAGCTAGTCTCATTCTAGGGGCTGTAGCTTCTGGGAGTGTTGGCATGCCCATCTACATCAACAGGCCTAATTGTTCTTCATACCTGATGGAAATCCTCTAAACCAAGTTCTTTGTACTTGATGGAAAGAAATCCCCAGATGTCCTATCTCTACTGTTCCTTAATCAAGGGCTTTAAAAGCCAAGCCCTTCCCCAAGGATTGGAAATTTGGAAACTATATGTGTAGTATAAACCCTTCACACCTCAGCAAGAAGCTGGCAGTTAGGTTTTCCTTCTTTATTTTAAAGTATTCTGTGTATGGCAGGGTTAATGCATGAGCATATCTCCTGCTCTTCCTATCATTGAAAATATTTTATTTTATTGTTTTATGTGTATGGGTACTTTGTTTGCATGTATGTCTGCATCATGTGCATGCCTGTAGCCCAAGAAGGCCAGAAGAGGGCATCTGATCCCTTGGAAGTGGAATTATAAATGGTTATAAGCTGCCATGTGAGTACTGGGAATTGAATCCATGTCCTCCAGAAGAGCAGCCATTGCTCTTAATCACTGAACCACCTGTTCTCTCCAGCCCCATTCCTACCCTTTTCAATGGGGATGTTTTCTCAGTTGTCTAGCATATATATAGGAGTCTTTCATAAGGATTGTGGCCTTGTTTTGGAGAATTGATCTGTTTGTAGGTATCTCCACTATGTATGATGGTAAAAATATAGCCAAGAGCCTTCTGTGTTTTGCTGGTTGTCTGAATAAATTTTAAACTAAATGTTGAATTTAACCTAACAGTTCCTAATCATCCTAATATTTCTCAAGTGGCTTCAATTTCATCCTTTATCTAAGGAAAAAAGTTTCATGTGCTCTGTTTTTATATTCCCATCACATTGCACATACCAGAAGTTGTGACATTAAGGATGTTAAACATAATTCCTAATGACATTCAACTATACTCATAGGTCAGTGCCTGGCTTAGTCATCAGCACAGAAGCTTCCTCCTGAAGTAGATGGGAACTAATCCAGATACCCACAACTGGACTGTGTGCAGAAAGTGAGAAACCTTGAAACAGTCAGTCCTAAATAGCATGTCTCCATCAAACACTTCCCCTCAGGGCTCAGGGAGCTATGCTGAAGAGGAGGTGGAAAGATTTTAGGAGCCAAAGGGAATTGAAGACGACACCACAGAAACAGTGTCTTCCAGACACTGTAGCACCATACACATACGAACTTACAAAAACTACAGCAGCTTGCACAGGGCCTGCACATGTTCAAGCCAGGCGGGCTTGCAAAGGAAAAAGTCGTTTTCTCCAGTAGAGTTTCACTGGGTATATTAACCACACTTTAGGGTAGGCCAAACGCTGAACAGAAGATGGCCAACATAAAATGAACTCAGTGGTATTTCTGTAGGCTTTTTGTCTCATACCACTTTCTTTGGGCCTTTTTTTTGTCTTAATGGTCTTTTTGCTTACACATTATGGTTTCCTATTTTGTGGGGGTGTGTGTGTGTGTGTGTGTGTGTGTGTGTGTGTGTGTGTGTATGTGAGTGTGTGTTTCTTCTGCTTTCTCTTTGCTATTTTTCTTTTCCTTCTACTCTGGTTTGTTTGCTTTTTGTTTGCCTGTTTGTTTTCTAAAGAGAGAAAGAAGGAATGGAGTTGGGTGGGTGAGGAGGTGGAGGATCTGGCAGGAGTTGGGGGAGGGAAAATCGTGATCAGAATATAATATATGAAAAAATTTTATTTTCTATAAAAATATAAAAAGATAGTAATAAAAATAAAAGGATGTGAATTTACCTTTATCTCAACATGGCACAACATTTTTGGACAAAAATAAATACAATAATTATCAGGCCTCTTCATTCTCTTATGTGAGGATTCAGACAATGCTGTGTACAAATTGCTGGTACAGGGTTGGGCATGGTGGCACACATCCATAGTCCCAACATTTGGGAGTTAGAGGCAGGAAGAAGTTTAGGGTAATTTTTGCCTACATAGTGAATTCCAGGCCAGCTTGGACTGCATGAGAACTTGTCTCAAAAAATGAAAGAAAAAGAATATAAAAATAAATTATAGGTACATAGGTTAAGATGAGGATTCTGTGGACCACAGTTTATTCTCAGCCACCCTATAGAAAGTGTATTTCCATATATGGGAAACAAAATGGAAAGGTTTCATTTTGCAAGCCAATTTTATTTCATATGAATAGTCATTTACATATGTTGATAGTGAAGTGCTACTTTGGTAATTCATTCTCCTCCCTCCATAATCCAATTTTAACTCTCAATCTTAAATGGTTCATAAGAGCTGATTTTTTTCCCATTATATTTTATACCCACACAAGTATAAAATGCATGAAAACTGAATGCTTTATTTTTTCCCTTTACAAACATTGATTTACTTGATTACTTTGTAGTTCATTTTATAGTTTTGTAGAGCAGTATTTTACAGTAAACATGGTATCTGGTTTCCTTTCTGGTGCTATGATTAAACACACTTCTCCAAAGCAACTCAGGGTAGAAAAGGATTTCTTTCATTAATATTTCCATGTCGCAGCTCATCATTGAGGGAATGCAGGGTAAAAACTCAAGAAGGAACTTGAAGCAGAAACCCTGGAGGAATGGTAATTGCTAGTTCACTTTCTGACTCACTCAGGTTTGTGTTCAGCTAGCATCTGTAGACAGTCCATAGAACTGTATCACTCACAGTGAGATGGGTTTTCTAACCTCAATTAAAAATCAAGATAATCCCTGAAAAACATGCCGACAGACCAATCTGATAAAAACAATTACACAACTGAGATACTCCCCCCCCCAGGTGATTCTAGACTGTGTCAAGTTGACAATTAGTGCTAACTAAGAAAGGGACTAATGATAGAATGTCCTAGGAGTATATGTGGAAATATTACTAAATTTCAGATAAACAAATTCTTTAAAGCCATATAACTAAAGAAACATAATAAATTACAATTAACCATTCAAAATAATCATCTTCAAGATATTATTATAATTAAAAACATTCTAAAATTTGTAAAACATTGATTTCAGTAATTTCTAACATTTTTTAAAGTGTCAATTTATAGCTATTCTTTATTTAAACAAAAATTGTGTTGTTGAGTTGGAACAGCAACTTTACTTGGCAGACATGGCCTCTAATGAATTTTGACCATCAAAATTATGCATACAGGAAAAAGAATTGCTAATCTGAAGACTATTTAGATATTTTGTGGTACACAATTTAATTAAAAAACATTAGCTTACATTTGTATAATTTACCATGATTTTTAATACATTTTTATTTGAGCCTGAAGACATTTCTAAGAAATGGGAAACCAATACTATAGATGAAAATATTAAAAGTTATTAGGCTTATGAAGTATTCTAAATATTGTAAACCCTTGAATTTGAAGTTAGACATGAAGTCTACTGAAGTCATTCCTTAGTTTCTCTTTGTATTATATTACTTTACAATTCTACACATTTTGGTGAATTTGTGATTTATCTTATAATTTTATACAGCATCTGTCTTTGGGTTTCTATTGCTGTGAAAAGACGCCATGACCATGGCGACTCTTAATAAGGAAAACATTTAATTGAGGCTGGCTTACAGTTCAGAGGTTTAGTCTGTTGTCATGGTGGGAAGCATGGTGGCATGCAGGCAGACATGGCGCTGGAGAAGCAGCCAAGAGTTCTACATTTGGACCCACAGGCAGCAAAAAGAGACACTGGGCCTAGCTTGGGCATCTGAAACCTCAAAGCCTGCCCCCCGGTGGCTTACTTCCTCCAACAAGGCCACACCTATCCCAACAAGGCCACATCTCCTAATAATGCCACTCTCTATGAGCCTCTGAGGGCCATTTTCACTCAAACTACCACAGTATCTATTTTCATATAAGTTGTGAGAGCATTATTTATGCAGGTGAGATAATTTTCTTGAGGATACATACTTCAATTAAAATGGTTTGCTACTGAACATAACCTTAATGTTGCTTTTTGAACTTATACATTCAGATTAAAAGCTAAGCAGATTTAATGTCTTAAACTGTTATTTACAAATTTGTAACTAACTGGTACCATAAGAGTATTTGTATTAGAACAACCAGTCTTTGATACCAATATAAAAGTTTCACATATTCAAAAAAATAACAATCTTTCTTTGAAAGGTTACAATAAGCTATGAAGTAAACTAAATAAACTAAAAATAATACTGTTTTGGTAGAATATTAAAAGCAGTAATGTGATAATTGAAAAAGACTTCAGTGTTCAATTCTTTTACTGTTGCTGTGGTAAAGAACTTTGACAAGAGGGTAGAAGTGATGGCCCAGCAGTTAACAATAATTGCTGCTCTTGCAGATCTAAGTTTGGTTCCCATTACCCAGGTTGGGCAGTTCACAACCACCTGTAATTCCAGTTCCAGGGCATCCAACTGCTTCTTTTGGCTTCTGAGGGCACTCAAACTCTTATGTACATACCCCACACACATAGACACAAACATACATATGATTTGAAATAAATCTTTAACCTAAAAAATACCCTAACAAAAACAATTTAAGAGAGAAATGGTCTATTTTAACTCACAGTTCAAGGTCTAATGAATCTGTCATGGCAGGGAGGTCAGGGCAGCAGGAGCTTTAAGCAGCTGCTCACATTATATCTGCAGTAAGAAGAGAATAATGAATGTGAAGTGCTTCTTAGCACCCTTTCCCACTTATATAGTCCCAGATTCCCTGTCAAGGGACTGGTACTGCCCGCAATTAAGGTATGTATTCCCACATTAATAATGTAATCAAGATAATCCCCCTACAGGAACAACCAGAGGCCATCCTCAGGTGATTGTAGATTCTGTAGATTTGACAACACTAACCATCACAACTTGGTAATTATGTCTTCATATAGAATTTTATAAAAATACTTATGCATAGAAAGCAAGAAGTTGTTATTATGTTCCCATTATCAACTGAATTCTGTTCCTTCTCTTGAAATTCAAAACCTCTGAAAATTAGGTGAACTGAATAGTTTATGGTATGGGAAAAGCATATCTTCTCTAAGTAGAAAATATACTTTTTAGTCAACATTAAAAATAATTAGCTGGGTGTGATGGCTCATGCCTGCAATTCCAGCACTTGGGAGGCTGAAGCAGAATTACAGTGGATTTGAAGCCAGCCTGAGTTACATGGTGCGTTTCAGGCCGGTTCGAGCTACAGACTGAGATGTTGGTTAAAATAAAACAAAAGAAGAGAAAAGGTTCAGAGACAACATACTGTTCTGAAAATAAAATTTCTGGCTCAGGAAGCATATGGCCACTCTTCATGAAATCAGGGAGAAAAGAGTAGTGAAATATGCTCTATTAGAATTGCTAGGAGACAGAGTGTATGTTCCCAGTAACAAATGTCCCACTTTAAGACAGTGCTCCTTAAATTTTCATATTAAATTACCAATTATTTTACTTTTCTCCTATAAATATATGCTTTATATCTTGAATTCCAAGATTTTATGTTTTGTTTTACTTATACTAAAAAGATTTAGGGTATAGTAACCACTGCATTTAAAACAGTAATGAAAAAAAATTCTACCTTTAGGGTGAAACAGGATTGATTTAAGAAAGAATTCCTGGAAGCAGTTATATTCTAAAAAAGAATAATAGTAATAAGTGAAAAGGGAACTTGAAGGGAAGAAAACAAGAGAAGACAATTGTCTTAGTTAGGGTTTCTATTGCTGTGACCAAACACCATGACAAAAAACAAGTTGGGGAGGAAAGGGTTTATTTGGCTTAAGCTTCCATATTGTCTTTCATCACTGGAGGAAGTCAAGACAGGAACTTAAACAGGGCAGGATCCTGGAGGCAGGAGCTGATGCAGAGAACATGGAGGGGTGCTGCTTACAGGCTTGCTTCCCCTGGCTTGCTCAACCTACTTTCTTATAGAACCCAGGACCACCAGCCCAGGGATGGCAGCACCCACCATGGGCTGGGCCCTCCTCCATTGATCACTAATTGAGAAAATGCCTTACAGTTGGATCTCATGGAGGCATTTCCTCTCTGATGACTCTAGCTTGTGTTCTCTACAATTTTCTTCTCTTGTTTTCTTCCCTTCACTTATTATTATTATTACTATTATTACCATTATTATTATTATTTAGAATATATTTGCTTCCAGGAATTCTTTCTTAAATCAATCCTGTTTCACCCTCAAGGTAGAATTTTTTTCATTACTGTTTTAAATGCAGTGGTTACTATACCTAAAACTTTTTAGTGTAAGTGAAACAAAACATAATCTGGGGTAATCTTGTAACTAATGACAAGCATCTTATAAAAGGCTTCTGTCTTTACATGTAGTCATTCATAGTAGATCCTTCTACATCTTTTAAAATAGTTTAAAATGTTTACTAAAGTAAAACATAGACAAATTTTAGTAATTTGATTTTGACTTATGCTGAGACACCATAAGCCTTATATTCTTTCGTTTTCACTCATTTATCTGATTGTATTAATAGACTTCTTAATTTAAGGCATTATCCAAAGACCTTCTATCACAGCAGAAGAATGTTGCTAATTTTTCTAATTCTTCACAATGTAATGAGACAGTCTTAAGGCTCTTTTGCTTAACATTGCAACTTTAGCTTTAAGAAATTTGTATTTTCTTATATTTTCGGGTGTTTGTTGGTTGGAAGGAGACAATGTCTTGCTTTGTAGTCAATTCTGGCTTGGAAATACTATGGAGCATAGACTGGCCTCAAAAGTGGTAACCCTGCTACATCAACTTCCAGAGTGATACATTTATAGGTACACACTACCATGCATTGCAACTTTAAAGAATATATTCAGATGTTAATTTTCTCTTCTCAGAACTATGTAACATCTCCCTTGGTTTTGAAGTGTAAAATGAGCATTTTTTGTGTATTTTTCCCTCTTCTCTTAAAGTCGTCTTTATTTGACATTAATATATGTCATTAACAGAGCCACTTTTGCTTTTAAAAATTAATATTCATTCAATATCTTCTATCATTTCACTTTTGGCCTGTTACATTTGAAATGAATTTTTGGAAATATCATATCATTGTGCTCTATTTTTAATTCTTTTTATATCATTTTACATTGATGTCCTTAGATATGTTATATCTACAGTAATTGATGCATCCAAGCTTCAGATCACCACTTTATTTTAATTATCTGTTTTTTTTCTGTTTCATTTTTTCTGCCTTCTTGTGTGTTACTTGAATTTTCAGAATTTCACTTTATCCAAACCTTATTACATCTCTCAACCCTGATTAGAGAAGCTCCTTTTGCAGTATATTAATAAAGAGACTCACACCTGGTTAACATGAAGAGATAAGGAACCATTAAAAAAGAGAGGACAGAAAGTTTATAAGAGCCAGAGCTAGTGGACATCTGCATTGAAACAGTATTTGCCAGACACGATAGGGCCACTGCACAAATCCCTATTCTCCCTAGCTACCTGAGTATTCTATAGAAAACGCAAGTATCTCTAAGTCATTTAATAACTCAAAATATTTAAATTTCTCTATTTTAGTTTGATTTTCCCCATTATCTTGTTATTGCCCTTCATTCCTACTTTATGTCCTGTCACTTTTTGCTTTTTAATATCCACTACCCAGGGACCTATATAAAATGCTATATAACCTTGACCACAGTTTGTCTAAAAGTCCTTTCCTGCATTGCTGCTTAACTACTATCCTTTAAGGTCTAAATTGAGCACTCAGGCCTCCATGTAGTATTCTTTATAGCAGTTAAACTCTCCTCTTTGCTTAGTAGTAGGCATATCTATCTTTGTACTTATCACATTATCCTGTTAAATGAATTGTAAAATTTTTATTTCCCCTACCAACATATGAGTATTTTGGCCATCCATATATACAAAATTAGGATAATTTTTCTGATCAAAGGCTAGAACTTGAGTCCAGCATTTTTGATGGTGCTCAAAAAATATTGAATAACAAATTTATATGCCCTTCACTAATGTCTGCCAAGTGCATTAGAAACTTCCCTGGTGGGCTAGGGATTTATGCATTAAGGAAACTAATCTTAGTGGGCTCTAAGGTTTTTGTTAGATTGTGATTAATGCAGCAGGGGACAGTATTGGAAAGAACCCTTAAACACCCCCTCCAGACAACCTCAACTCAGGCCAATTTCTCTTCACTTAGAAAAGATTGCTGTAAATCTTGGTTGAAAAGGACAAAGCTTGATTTAATACAGCTTACCTTTGAGGCACAACAACAAAGAAATTATTCTACTAATTTAATTATCATCCCTCGGTGCTCTTTCTCCCCATTCAATCTAAAGGGAGATTTGGCCTGGAGAGGTGCACTGAGGCCTATTTACAATGAAGGTTATTTCATACTGGTTTCTCTGATGATTGGAAACTTAGGTTGCTATTAGAGATTTTGGATCTTAATTGATAGCTGTTAGGTGAATTATACTGGAAATACCAACAGTATTACAGAAATTTCACTAACCTTTCTCTGGAATAAGATTTTTACATTATTCTTGGGAACAATAAGTACTTTTTTTATAATTATTAATCTTATCAGAATTGCTGAAGTATAATATACCTGCTTTTGAAATTACAAGCACTGTCTATGACAAACTGAGGAAAAGAGGAGGTTGTTATTTTCTCTTGTTTAATTGTTCTCTTAATGTTTTAGTGATCAGTGTTATTCAAAAATAAAATGTAAAAGGGATAAATTATCATGAGAAGACATTGCTTATTAAGAAAGTAAGAAGTTGGGCATGGTAGTACATACCTGTATTCCCAGCACTTGAGAGTCTGAGGTAGGAGAGCTGAAGAATTCAAGGCCAACTTTGATTATGGAGTGACATTCACATCTGTCTGGGCTATATAGACCCAATCTCAAAAAAGACAAGAAATCAATATAGCAGTATCAAAAAAGAAATCCAAGCCAACTGGAAACATCCACCAGAAGAGCTTCTGAATGATATTTTATCCAAATGTTAAATAAGTGAAATTACTAAAATATATCTTGCATAGTAATTCAAAGTATCTTTGCAAAATAAATGGTAAGTAAAAATAAGATCCCTATAAGCCCAATTTAGAAAACATTTATATTCTCTCTTTCGCTCCAAAGAGACAAAGGCTTAAAAGTCCTTCTTCCATTGGAAGACTCCCTTCCTAGCTGTCATAATTCCTAAAAATAAGATTAGTTAGAGAACTATTTGTAAATTCTTCATCTATAGCCAATTAAAACTACATTGCACTCTAGAATCTTAACAGGATATTTTAGTTAAGGGATTTTCATTTTTATTTTGAAATCTGGAGGGACAAAGTGTTAACAACCAGAGTCATAAATTAGACTGACATTATTCAAAAAAAAGATTAAAAATATCATTTCAAGTGATTTGTTTTGATATGGTTGCAAATATCTCAAAAAGTATATATCCAATTAATTTAATTAACTTAATATTTCTACTCTGCCTCAATTAAAAAAGAATCTGAGGCTTTTCCCAAAGGTTCATAGTTTGGCGTTTAAATCTAGCCTGTTGAAGAATGTGTGACATCATACCAATTAGTTCATTGTATTTTTGCATATGTTTATTACAACATACTTTACTCCTAATCTTTAAAGATTATATTGTTCACTAAGAGAAGGCAACATTAAGTTGCCCGGGTTTTTATAGAGATGCACTATACTATATGCACAAAAAAGTGGGGAAGATGTTAAATTCTGAGTAATAGGCAGAGTACATAAATGGTAGTTTATTTGAACAGTCCTGGAAAGTGCCAGAAAGATTCAGCTGAGTCATTTGTAGTTAAGAATAAAAGAATAAGAGCAGTGATGATTTAATCCTTTTCTTTTTCTCCCCTACCCAAATCAAGAATACTTAAAATGAAAAGCCTGTTATGTTCTGAAGAGATTAAGTGAAATGATTTATGCTGATTATATTGTCAAAGTCAAAGTCAAATGCTATATTTCATGGAGGAGCCTAAGGTAGGAGAAGTTAAGAGAAACGCTTAAGGCCATGATGCAATCTGTTAAGACAGTAGGAATCTACACTCACATTTTGGTTCATTCTTAGATTCAGATTTAGTTTCACAGTCATTTTACATGATTGAGAAAAACATAAATGCCTAACTGTAACATAAATTGGAGGGGACTATGTATTCCTTCAGCCTCATATAGGGTCTTCCTCAAAATTCTCTTTTCTTTCTCATTTTCTTTGCCAGTGGCCTTGTCACATAATTTCAATTAATGTAGCCCTCTATCTATCTATCTATCTATCTATCTATCTATCTATCTATCCATCCATCCATCTATCTATCTATCTATAATCTATCTATCGCCATCTCTATCTGACTAATCTTGGTGTGTGACATTTGTCTTGATAGCCTGCTCCATTAGGTACGTGATATCTTAATGTGCACTTGCTTTCACTATGATTCACAGTATGGTTGCTGTCACAGAAGCCTAGTCTTTCTACCTGCAACTTACTGGTGCCGCCAAATTTGGTCATGCTCTATATTCTTACCATTTCTGGTTAGGTATAGATTAGGACAATGCACGGTGAGTCTCAGCCTTCTTCGTGGTTAAGTTTGATGAAATGCATCCAGTAGATCTTCAGTGGACCTCTCTTTCACTATAATTGCTCATTTAAGACACTCATTTTCAAAGTTGAGATTCTGGAATGAACTTGCTGTTATAATCATGCATCATGATCTCAGATAAATTTGACCTTTTAAGGCACTATTCACTAATTTATTTAACATTTATGTAACTGAGTAATATCTAGGGAATAGGAAGTGAATGTGAGAGCTAAAGTCTCAGCTGTAAAATGTGGCTAATAGTAGAGCTAGTATGAAGCTGGAATAAAACAAAAAGTGATTATTTAGCACCTTGCTTGATAAAATTTGTGTTATTATTAATAGTAATATTTTGATAACATAACTTGTGTAATTAAATTTCTTTAAAAATTTTTGTGTATATTTTGAAGTTTGGATTACTAAACAAGTGTCAGCACAAGCTTCTTAAATTTTATTTGTTTTGTACCAGTAGCATGAAAACATCAATATTTTATCAGCTACTGTCTCTCTCTCTCTCTCTCTCTCTCTCTCTCTCTCTCTCTCTCTCTCTCTCTCTGTGGAGGGGCTGTTAATTCATGCCAACTGAAGAAAGTGACATTCTGTATTTCATAAAATTGAGTTAGACAAAATGGCTACGGTAGGAACTGGCATGATTTACTGACATTATTGAAATGATTATAGAAATAAAAGGAGTTTCTTGTTTACTTAATGTAGCTCTTTAAGAATTATACGGAGAAAAAAACTATAATGGTGGTAGAGTTTGCTACTAGAATTGTCATTGAAAGTGAAGCCTCATTAGGCAATCTGTAAATGTTACATAGAAGCCTGCATAGATTTTTGAAGCAAACAATATGTGAAACATCATGTTTGCAATTTGTCACTAACTTTAAATCCCATTATTACTCTCTGGTTCTTATATAAGAACATCTGAACGCAAAATGACATCATGTGGAATAGATATCGGGACCCTGTGTTGAAGGAATTGGCCGAAAACCTGAAGCAGAGGCTTGGAAAAGGCACGTGTAGGGGTGGGGGAAGCTTCTCAGAATCACCTGGAGCAGCTTGCAGTTGACTGCTCTGACTTCCCAGGTCCCTTTTAGCAGCCAGGGGAGATCCGACAGCACGGGCCATCTAGGCGTTTCTGGCTAGAGCCAGGTTCCGTCTACGGAAACCCCGGTTTTCCGCAGGGACGCTTAGGTCCAAGGAAGTCACCTCGGGAGCCTACTCTACAGCCGCGAAGGCGACTGCGAGCAAAGCCAGGGCTCCCATTGTCACCCTAGTAGTTCAGCGGCGTCCCCTCCCCTCGGTGGCGGGGGGCCTACGGTACCCTCCTACACTACCTCGGCTGTAGGTTCAACTAGTGGGGCGGCCCGTCTCGCTACCGAGTCTCCTGGGAGGCCCCTGGGAGCCATGCCCCTGCCGCCGCACCTGACTGATTAACCGATCCCAGGCTCATTCAGACTTCAGCTCGAGCCTCGGTCGCCGCCGCTACCGGCTCCACCGCACACGCCCTCCGGGCGCGGGGTCTGGCCGAGTGCGGCCCCCCGGGGCGGGAGGGCGAGAGTGTGAGCTGCTCGCACCTGGCCGCCTGTCTGGCAGAACTCCGGCCCCGGGCGCGCGCCGGCACACGCACGCGCACACGCCCCGCGCGCGCCGGCTGTCGGCCCTGGGGGCGGGACCGCGCGGCGGCGAGCGGGCGGGGGGCTCGTGGAGCGCGCGCCCCGCACCCGAGGGCTGCGGAGAGATATTTTGGGTGGCAGGAGGCCCCTCGTCATTTCCGCCGGGCGGCTCGTCGTGCCGGGGGCTCCACTCCCGCGCGCCAGGCGAGCGAGCGGGCAAGTTGGCTGCGGCGCTGCGCCGGCGCCTCCTTTCCTTCCCCGCCGCGACCCTCGGCGGCGGCGGCGGCGGCTCGAGCCATGAACTGAAGCCCCCGCGGGACGCACACTCGGGGCTGAGCGGCGGAGGCTGCGGCAGCGGCCGCCGCCAGGGCTCGGAGCGAGCCGACCCCAGCGCCTTTCCCCTGCCGTCGCCGCTCCCACCGCGGTCGCCTCCGACGCTCCAGCCTCGGGACCGCCACACAAAAGCCGCCCTCCCCGCGCCGCCCACCCCGGGAGGCTGCGGCCGGCCACCGACCCCACCTGAGGGCGCCTCGGGCTACGGACTTCGCTTTCTGTCCGAGCTCCGCGTCCCACGCGGCACCAACCCCGCCGCCCATGGCTCTGATCATGGAACCAGTGAGCAAATGGTCTCCGAGTCAAGTAGTGGACTGGATGAAAGGTAATGCCCTCTGTGGGGAGGGCGAGGCGACACTGGGGCAAGGGGTCCCGGTACGAGGGAGGGGCGCCCACCATGGCACAACCCGTCCTGGGAGCTTCCAGCCGACTGCTAACGGTCCTCGCTGGGATGGACGGGGTCCTCGGGCTCTGATGGGGGCCCGGGGACCCTGGTCTCCTTTTGTCTTCAGCCAGAGGGGCGCGGGGAGCGAGAGAGCGGCGGGCGCCACCTGGTTGAAGCTGGAAGCAGGGCGGTGGAATCCCGGCGCATCTTAGCCGCTTCCCGCTTCCCTCGACGCCTTCGGGCCGGGAGGACACCGCGACCCTTGTTTCCCAGCTATGGGAGGAGCCCTCGGGACCTATTCTCACGGTTGCCCCTTCCCCAGTCCCTTTGTTCCTGGAAACCTGAGGCCCCTTCTAGGTTTCGCCCTGCCAAGTGCCTTCCCCAGTGCCAACTCTCCTGGCAACTTTTAAGCCCGCATAATGGGGTCAGGATGCAGTTGCTCGGGGTGGAAGCTGGGGAGCCCCTCCAAGCTGGGCTGAGGATGATCGGGAAGGGGGAGCGCTACTTTGGGGGAGAGAAAATACATGCTTCCCTTGGGACAGCATCCCTGCTGATACATGTAGGTTCCCTCCTGCGCACTCCCTAGCATATCCTTTGCTTTCCTAGGTTGAGGTATGTGGAGGCTTTAGACCTCTCGCTGCTTCTTGTTAAGGACTCAACGTCAGGTTTAAAGTGGTGCACATTCAAGTACTCTCTCCTTTCTTCCATCTTGAAGGCTCCCCCCACTCCCGACAATTTCTAATAACCGATTTCAAACCTTCACCCTCCTCCTAGTCGCAAATATGGTCTTTTTCTCTAGTCTTTGGGCTTTCCTGTCTCACTATCTCCCTCTGTTGTCAGAGTTGAGGGGCTTGTAGGGAATCTCTCCAATCCATCCCCTGACCGAACTCTGAGAAAGGGATGCCTGGGTTGGAATAAAAGATTCTTGGACACGCTTGGAGAAGGCTTGGAAAATATTAGAGTTTTGTTTGGGGTGGTACCCGAGCACACAAACTTAAGATACGTAGACTCCAAGTCTTATGCCTGAAAATGTCCTTTCCAAAGATGAAGGAGCCCCTTTTCTAAGTCTTGCTTAGCAGTCAGAGTTTCTAAGCTCCACGTACTTGAAAATGGAAGGTGGGTGGTTGATTGGAAGGTATTGAAAGTAGTAGGGAGAAACTCAATTCTCCCCTTATTTTTCCCCCACATTTTCGGACGTTTGCTTGTTCTTCTGGATTTCCCTTTATCTGTTTTGCTTCCTTTTCTCACTGATTTGCCCTGCTACTCCTCACTTAGTTTTTCTCATCTAATATGTGGAGAAAATGCTTTGTAACTGCAAAGCACAGTGTAAGTGCAAGTGAATTGAATTAAACCTAATTCATTATTTATCCACTGCCCCCTGTGTGCAGTGCATTGGGTGTCATGGGGGTTATAAAGATGACTAAGACAAAGTCCAGCAATGGCTCATCTTTTCTGCTGCGTGTTCTCTTTCCATATTTGCTGTTAAAAATCCAGCTTCCCAGATTCCCATTAACCCCTCCCCAACACACACACACACACACACACACACACACACACACACACACACACACGCACTCGCACACACACACACACACATACACTCACACTACTGGGGGGAGAATGTTTCAGTTTCTCAGTCATGGAAGACAGTATTCACAGGAAGTAAGAATGCTTAATTAAAACTATTTCTTTGAATTTGTCTAAAAGATGAGGTTAATTTAAGTCTGCAACAGTATTCAGAGAAAAGGTGTCTTGGCTTCATGGGAGTCAGATTACCTCCATGGATTGCCTTCTAGAAATTCCCATGCTGCCTGTAATGAGTGCTGCCTGTACTCCATCTTCTTTACCTCCCACCTAGTTACATTCTTGCATTTTCCCTTCTCGCCACTGTTTTAGGTCCTCTGAAGCAAGCACAGCAGATGATGTGTGTAATCTGACACACGTTAGTAGTTCTCCAGTACACTAGTCCTCTAAATATCTCTCCAGTGCAAAATGCAGTTTCTTTGAACTTTGGTAAAGACTATTTGCTGTAATTTTTTAACTTCACATGACATTTCAGTTGGATAAGTTGTTTTTGTACCTGTTGGTGACACATTTTCCAGCTTGAAAAGACCAGTTCGGTAAGTGAGGTAGAACTTGCATTCCTTTGTCTAACAAACGCCTGGATGAAGTGACAGAGTGGCAGCTTTAATTACCAATTGCAGGTCCCAGTTAGCTGCTGCTGAGTCCCAAACTGCTCATTGTTAAAGTTTCTGTGGTAGTCATATAAATTTGAGATTCTATCAGAAAAGGAGATTTTTAAATAATAGTTGGAGGAAATGAACATTTCCCCAACTTGCCCCTTATAGTGTTACCTTAGTTAATATTCTCTACTCTTTTCCCCCAGGAAACTTTAACAAAAGACAAAAATAGTTTTCACACTTTCCTCAGTTGCAGAAATGTTTGAAAGCCAAACTGCTAATTTAGCCGATAGCTTTGAAATGATTAAACCTTGCTTAATGTTTTTATTTATAGTGTTATAAAGCCAGTACTAAAACATTAACAACACTTGGTTGTTTGAAAAAGGATCTCATATAGCACAGGCTGGCCTTGAACTCTGTGTACCCAAGCATGACCTTGAATTTCTGATCCTGCTTTTTCCACTGCCCCAGAACTGGGATTACAGGCATATGCTACACCACTCTTGGTTTTATGTGGTGCTAGAGATTAAGCTCAGGTCTTCCTACAGGTTAGGTAAGCATCAAGTGAGCTAAATCCCCAGCCCCTAAAAAACTGAGTAAGACTTCAATAATTGCAACATGCTGGGAGTTCTTCAGAGTATATTTCTTGTGTGCCAGCTTCATCATCCTTAATACTTGTAGCTTTCAGCTGATCACAATCATAGCTCCCTGTACTGTTTTTAGTAAGACACATACTTCATATTCTTTCGAGGAATTTTTTTTATTTACTAAGAAGGAAAAAGGTACCATTAGGTCTGGAATCATAAATGATCATCATTTATGTTTCCAGACAATTTATAGAAATTATATAGAAAGTAAGTCATCAAAGAGGGAAATGAAGGAAAAAAATAACTTTATTGAGCTTTCACAGCATATGTTCAAGATTGTTTTAGGAAGGACCATTAATGTGACAATTCATTTTAATCTATTGTTTTTAGTTAAATGTATTTGAAGGAGATACCAATATAAAATGTATATATTAATTTTTAGCAAAAATGTAAGTTGCTCATGCACTCTTTGTAAAAACAGTACTGGTCAAATTTTCTGCCGGCAATGAATATTTGCTATAGCACATTGTCATTGTTAGTTGAAGTAAATATACAATGCATGATCTACTTATGAGTCAGTAAAATAAAGACTTTATTCCAGATTATTTTTGTAGTACTTCTGGATATTTAGTGATAACTCATAAACTTTTACATTAACCAAAAATTAAGTTTATAAAATTACTGTTGGAGAAAATCAATATACTCATCCCCTTTATTAGCACTTGAAGCCAACCTTCTTCAATTGGAAAGTATGTTCAGTAATCTTAGAGTTTTGATAAAGTCTTAAAACAGGCGTTTTCAAAATCAACAAAGGCAAGCGACTGAGAAAAGTCATAGACAATAAAGTAAGCCAGTAACTTTCTAATTTTTTGCTGAACCTATTAATCTAAAATATGTTATCTTTCAGTTCCTATTTGTTTATTTGATAATCCTAGAAATACTTCTAATCTATAGTTACATGAGTCCCTGTTTTGTGTATTTTTTTCACTGAAATATAACAAAAACCTCTGAACACTTAAATGTTTCTCTTACTAATTTTATTATTAAATTTCCCTGTCCATCTTATATCAAGTAACTCTACTCTTCCTTTCATAACTTTTTGAGCTTTGAGACTAATGCAAAATATCCGTACGACCAAGATAATTCTTTTCTAGGACCATTTCCCTTCTAGTGAGCTTTAATCTCTTTCTGGTTTAAATAAAATGACTATCATCTTCAGAGCAAAGCAGAAGGCCCACTTAGCTGGTCTTTTTTATGATTTCTGGGATTTAATGCTAATCAATCTTGCAGTATTATAAGTGCCAAAATAATCTAAAATTTTAAGAGTCTTTAACCTATCCCACAATCAACTGTCCTACTCTTTCTTGATCATAATGAAACATTTTGTTCGAGTAGTGCCTGCCTTCTGGTTTCTGTACTGATGACTCAGCCATCTTGA